CCTCTCACCCATAGTCATATACTATCTCAATTGCTTCAGCAAACAAAAGTTCAGAATAAACGAAACACATATAAGTAGATTGTAAAGACTGATGTGCAAGTATAACGGGCAAATATCATGATTAGACATTCAAACAATTTATATCATGTATCCTTTCAAACAGAAGTAATTTGCAAATTGTAAATCTTAACACAAATGCATTGTTAAATAGATTCTCACAAGATTAACATGTAGTAAGACCACAAATATTATTTCACCCTTGAATCAACAATGCAGGCATAAAAGACTGAATGTGACAAGGAGGGATGTCACCTCATTTCTAAGTAATACTATGACTGAAAGTAAGAAAGAAGTGTTTTAAGCCAAGAAAAAAGGGGACACAAGGGAATTTTGCCTAACCATCGACCTACCTAGTAAAACCAAAACAACTTACCCCAGAAGACGGTGGTGGGTTTCGGGTAAACTTGGTGCCACCAGGAGCCCATGAAATTGGTCATAGGAAAAGAGAATGAACTTCTAAACTGAATATACTGTGTTAAAATGAAAACAAATTATGGCTCACACGTCATTTTGATGTATGGCAAAGGTAAAAGGTGTAACAATAAACACAAAAACATAATAATATACTAAGTTATAGGGATCATATGAAAACATTTTCTCTATTATTAATGTATGTGGATTTGCATTGGTATGTGTAACAGTGTGCACACAGACCAGAAGAGGAGATTGACCTTGAACCACGGTTCATAGAAGACACTGTACATATGAATCTAACATAACAAAATGCAAAATCAACAGAAAGGAGAGGTTTTTAAGAGGGATCAATTAGTAGGAACCTATTTGTAGATGCATCTATGCTACATTTGGATTTGTTGATTTGACAGGGCGGATTTTAATTGGGCTTTTCCAGTATCTATAGAATGAACACTGTGAACGTGATAGTTGCACCATATACCAGAGTTTGATAATGGCCAGACCTTGAAACTCATTGAGGCTTCTCCATGGACGGATTCCAGAAACACCGAGCGAGGTATAATGGAAATCCGCACAAAGAGAGCTTTTAGCTATGAGAGATGCCTGACTTTCCTAAAGAAAGGACTGCCTCCCTTGGCGATGTAAGTGGAAATCACAACTGAGTAGGTTCTTTTCTCTAGAAGAGTTCCCCAAACCAACAGATTTGACATGCGCTTCTATCCCTCTATCGCCGTCTTAAATTCAAATAAGTGAATTCCAACACTACACTATATCAACACTCCCCAATGCTCCAGCAGAAGAAGAAGCTTTCATAACCATCAAGTACTATGTACTCTAAAAGGAAGGAAATTTGTGGCCAGTCGGTCATTCTCTTGTAAGCAGATAAATTCAGCAGAGTAAAATAAAATAAATCCACCAACAATTATGAATTTCTCAGATAGCACGCACCAAGAGTTAAGCCTTCATGTTGTATTTCTTTCAAGGTTGCATCAAATGGATATGGGAGGGGGAGGGGGAGGGAAAGGGGGAAGGGAACTTGAACGCTTGACTTCAAGAAGACAAAGTACCATCTGACCAAGGTTCATCGGTACATATGTATCCACTAATAATAAGGAAAATAATGAAGTTACTGTTATGGCACTAACCAATGTAAGGATCAGGGTGCCGCCACTTATCGTAGATTGCTTCACCATTGGCTATCATTCTATCAATAGTTTCGAGATCTTCCTGCAGGTCCACCAATATTCAAGCAATAAGATATCATATTTGATTAGAGAGCACAAAACATATTATGAGGAAATTTCTAACTGTTTAAGCAGTCACAGCCCAAACACAACAACACACTGCAACTAGTCAATATTATTTTTATCATGTTATCTAGGACAAAAGCAGAGTGGTGAAGTCTCCCTCAGCTATACATCTTTTTTAAGCATTTGGATTAAAAGAAACGAACTGGTAATCACTGTTTCATCTGGTGTGAATCAGAAAAATCGTAATGAACATACTCGAGATTGGCCACTAGTAGTCACAAGAGCAGATCACTTAATAAGAAGAACAAATACCCAGCACAGTTATTCATACCTGTCGTGTATGAAACCACACCCACGTCACAACTTAGCCTGGATAACAGCAATAAACACTTGCAGCAGAAAATAACAACCGTGTCATCTTAACAGCATTCTACTTGCTGGTAGAGGTAGCCAAAAAGCTTAATCAAACTATGTATTGTCTAAAACAGCGAGACAGAAAATCAACCTAAAGAAATAAGAGTAATGCAGCAACCACAAGCAAATTCACTCCCACGGCATTGTTATTATTACTAACAATTTAAAACTAAATGAAGATTAATGGGCGAAATTTTACTAAGAGAACAAACCACGTCTTTGGTGGCTTCGAACTTCTGTGGGAGAGCATCGACTGGTGAGATGAACAATCTCCGTCAATAATAAAACCTGTAAGCTAATCTACACAAACACACACACACACATATATACATGAAATGCGAAGGATCAGATGATTAAGGAGGTTCAAAAAACCCTAATTAAGATTGAAGAGGAACATTACATCTGGATAGAAGAGATGGCAATGGACAGCCCAATTGAGGGTGCCTCTAAGAGCTCTCCTTTTGAATCCTCACTCTCTCCTTCTGTGATGCCCTTCTCGGGAGGTACGATGCTACCGATCATCCCTCTCTCTCTCTCTCTTTCCCCCCCCCCCAAAAAAAAACACACACATTATATCGTTAAATATTATTTATTTGGGTCAAATTGAATGGGGTATAACTTATAGTGGAAATTCTTCGAATAAGTCTTATGCTGCTAGTACCAATTATAAATATCAAGATCGATCTCAAATGATTTCAGTATATAAAAATCCATCATATCTAACTGTAACTCTAACCTTTACATTATAAGACCATCTGCTTATATGAACGATCTGAATGCAAGGGTCATGAACAACAATTATACTTGACAAAGAGCAATGTTGAACCAGCAAATCATATTCTTTTTCTTTCTTGGCAAATACAAGCATATCATATTCACAATACAACACCCATGAACCACAAAAAAGAAGAAGAAGAAGAAGAAGAAAAAAACAATGTCGAATTTCCAGTGCACAATATCATCTTAACCTAAGGAAACTAACAAAAAAATTATAATTCTGCCACAATCCTCGAAATTCGGTTTTTGGTTACAATCATCAATGAACATTAGGTAGTCAATCTGGTTGCATACAATTAAACTTACAAAAGGGATGGCATGCTGCGTTTCCAGCCAAAAGACCTCCGGCTCATGCGTCGAGGTGTGAAGCTAAGCCCAAACATTTCCTTGAGGGCCTGTCCTTGTTCTGAGAACCGGATCAGCTTCGCAACAATTGCAGCACTCTCCCTAATGTGGTTCATATCCTTGGTCTCACTCCACAAGCGCTGGATCAGCTGCAACCTCCTACGCTTTGAGTCCAAACTGATATCCCACTTCTGATAGATTCTATTTCTTTCCTCTTCTGAAAACGTTTTTTGCATCATCCTGCTCAACATCTCCCTCTCACGGCGAAGTGATTTCATGCTGTCACTCCAAGAAAACACCACATCAGGTATGTTGGTGAAATTACTAGGAACAAGATTCAGAAAATGAGCTACTCAAGATATGCATTCAAAAGAAGAAGAAAGTCTTAAATTTCACTTGGTCATGTCAATAGTGGCCTTGCAAATTTAGAATCTATCAAATATGTATAGTAAAAGCTTTCAGCAGAGTCTTGTTGCACATTATTACATTATCTGCCCCCCAAAAAAATGCCAATATCAAAGGGAGAAAATCTAGCATATTACTACACACCGTTACGGAACAATTCTTTAGCAATTTAGGTCTCATTTTAGAACAAATGTTTCACGCAGAGGCCCCCAAGCCCACATGCACATGCACAAGCGCAAAAATACAGTGAGTGAGAGAGAGAGAGACCTGGAGGTCCATGTCAGAGTCCGACCATCTTGCACAGCTGAATGTCCCTTTAAAAAGGTTTCCTTGAGGAAGGAAAGTCGCCTAACCTCTACCTCCATGTAAATAGAATCCATTTGGTCACCTTTAAAAAGTAGGAAGAAGTATGTCCGGTGGACCAATGAAACATTGCAAGTTTGCCAAAGTTCAATAATCAATCTCTGCAGCATCTCGAACTTCAAGGGTGAGTCTGACGAAGTTCCCAGTGAATCCTGCATTGGATCCAACCCCACATCTTTGACATTCTTCCCAGACTTTTCAGTTGTTGGTTCTGTCTCTTGAACCTTTCATGCATAAGAAAGAATCCATTTTAAGAAGGCAGATCCAGGAAAAGGCCCACCTCTTGTAAGCAACTAAACTAACCCCCACAACATGGCTATCCAAATGGAAGATGTCGAGGAAATACATTATTTTGACACTGGGAAAATATGTGGTGTGATTGAACATCATAACATGTAAACGCATCAATGATCCAAGTCTCCCCTGCCCAATTTCATTTTATCTTTTAAACCATGATAAACACTTTGGAACAACACAAAAATACAAAGGTAAACTTATAAAAAGGAATTATGTGAAAAGCAATAAAGTGACCACATAAAAAAGAATGCATAAAAATCAGTCACTACTAGAAATTGAAATCGGCAAAGCAAGATGGTGACCACAGAAATGACCAACTTTTTCAAGGACATGCCAGCAAAGAAAACTGGCACAGTCTCACCTGATCATCAAGAAATTCGGTCTCATACTGAAGGTTGGCCATTTTTTTCAGTCCTGCAACAAAAGTACCAATGGTAGGAATGTCCTCATCTCCGGCGATCTGATGCTGAGATTTTTGTTCATCCATGAAAGCACTGCCAATGGAGGATTGCGAATCATTTCTTGACAACCTTGCAGTATTGCCATCATAATTCAATGGAGGACGCATCCAATGCTTCCTTTGGTGGCCTTCTGGTCTTCCTGGAAAGTTTCTCTCAAACCCATTAAGTGGGGTCCTCTCACTATGTTCTACAGTCTCAAAGTCTGATTGCAATGAGCCAGCCATGAGATTGGCCCTACAACTATGGCTCCTAGTCAACTTCAGGCTACTAGAACCTGGCATGTCAGTTCCCATGGCCCATGGAGATGGTTCATCAGGGTAATGGCTGGTTAGAGAGCTAAAGGTCTTTTGCACGCCTCGGATTTTCTGCTCCAACGCTCCATACATGAAACCATTTTGAATACCACTGACTTCTCCATGAAAGGATGAGACCAATTCTTGATCTGTCATCCGACCATTACCAGACACCGCCAACGTTGACATTCTTCTTTCGTTCTCACCACTAGATAAGGCAACGGATTCAGATGTTTGGACGTTGCTGGACTCATCCACCTCAATACATCGAACTTCCTTGCAGATGTCATCAGAACTTTCTCCAGTTTCTAGTACAAACTCCTCCTTACCCCGACATCTATCAGATCTACCAAAATTTCTACTATCCGATAGTGATGAAGAAGTTCCACCGAACAGAGAATGGTCTCCCTCATCTTCTGAAAGCCTTCTGTTGTTTTTGTTAGAAGACTGAGTTGCGTCATTGAACTTTTTCTTCTTGACAGCAACGTCCAAACAATGACGATCAGTTCCACAAGATGCCTCTGATACTGAACTCTCATCTTCCCATGTGTTCTTTTCTTGAAATTTAGCATTATGACTAAGCTCATCCTGATCCAAAAAAATCATAAAAGTAAAAGAAAAAAAAGTATGAGTTAAGAAGTTGGTGCAACACACTTCAAGGTACTGAAGTTGAGCAAATAGAAAAATACATACCCATTGTCCTGAAGAATGATCATTTCTAACCCCTCGTAGTAAATCCTCAACCCGAGATTGGGCAAGATCCCGTTGCTTAGTTAGCTCTCTCACCTCTTTCTCCAACTGCAGATAATGTGAGCCAATAAGTGTACACGTGGCTTATGAGATGGATACTCTTGAAATATGGTCGACTCTACTCATCAATTCCATTCAGCAATCAATTCCACTTAATTTATAAAACCTATTATGTTTGTTTGCATAATCAGGTTAATAAGAGCAAATACATTCAACAAAGTTGGAAAGAGTCCTAACCTTCTCGATCTGCAGATCTTTCTTTCTCAGCAATGCTGCATAATCACAAGCAGGGCCTGGAGTTCTTAACTCAGTTTCCAATCTAGCCACCTCTTTTTGTAAATGCTTCACCAATGCCTTATCAGACATCACTATATTGACTTGTGCATTCGTTGTCACTTCCTTCGCACAAGTAGCAAACAATAGCGTATTTCTAGATTGCTCAACATGGCTTCGTGCCGGGCTCAAGGTGCAAATTATGGCAGTTCTAGCATTGCCTCCCAAGGAGGGTTGCAGTATACGAGTTAGCTTAGAATCTCTGTAGTTAACATGTCCATGTCTTCCCTTGCTGCATTAATCAGAGAACTGAATAATGATCTAAAGATGGCATAAAACTCTAGCTTAGAATAAAGCTTCAACAATTCAGGAACTAGAAAGGGAAAATAGACTTAAACCCCCCACCCAAAAAAAAAAGGAATGTACACACTTGTGTGGATGTATATATATATATATATATATATATAGAGAGAGAGAGAGAGAGAAACAATAAGTCATTACTAATAAAATCACATTAAGATCCCTTAAGGATGCCTGTTAGCTGGATTGCACAGCGTCGAGATTTGAAGTACCATTGTATTTTACATGGACCTGATGCCACTAAAGAGTCAAATCTATTTACAACAGACAAGCCAGGACAATTACACTGGGATGAGTAATGTGATTACAAAAACCCCAATAATTATCCTTGAATAGAGAAAGAGAAAGGAACTAGCTTTCAATTTCAAAAGTGGCAGAACTCTAATTATAGATACAGGGTGTCGTACAGAATTTAGGAACTAGAACTGTAGATAGTATAAAAAAGTAAATCCAAGTAAATGAGTGTAACACTAGCCAGCTATGACCATAAACTTAACATAATCCAAGTCACTGAGTGAAACTCTAGGCAGCTATAACCATATCCTTGACATATTTAAAGACTTTCAAGCTGCCAATTGAAGTTTCAGAGAGTAAAGAAAGGAATAACGAGTCAACCTTAGTTTGCGAATAACAGTTCCCAAAGTCAATAAACTACGGTTGATGTGGCAGCCTTCTTTCAATCTTTGCCCAACTGATAGTGCCTGCGATGCCCGCTCACTCCCAGCCAGATCAACAAAATTCTGCAGATAAGAAAAAATCAACTTGCCATGATTTGACACTTGCGATTTATTTTTTCCATTGTTATTATAAATTATCTAATAAGCTGCATTAGCTGTTCTATATGCATTAAACTTGGATCCGAGAAAATAATCCTTAAGAGATTAATACCACACTAGCTGAAAGGGTTGTTGACTTGTCCTTCCCTAAAAACTCACGAGCAGAACTTTCAATTGTCTGAGAAAATCAAATTGAGATGGGGTTACTGAAAGAATTCTAAAGGCTACATACAAAATTTATTCGAATACATGATCCAACCAAAAGAGGGAGAGAAGGGAGGGGCATACCAATCTAAGAATTTGATGAGATCTAGAGCTTGTTTCATTCAGAGAGGTCTCCCCTATTTGTCTTTGAGCTGCAAGATTAAAAAAAACAAGAACATGGGGCACCAGCTTTCACAGGTTAGTGGACATAAAATTCCTTGTAGTTCAATTTTGGAACAATGCTCCTACCTTCACAGATTGACAAGAGCTCCCTGAGATGACTCCAATCCCTCAGAGTTTCCTCTGCGAGTTTCTCTACTATAGTCCCTTTCTACATAAATGAGGAATAGTAAGAAAATTATATGGACTTACAGGATGAAAGGAAAAAGAACATAATGCTCACTTCCGGATCATCTAGAAGCCTGAGTTGAGTATCATCTCTGCCGAGGAGGTCTCTCACAACTTCATTGTAGATCTCAATTGCCGAAAACTTCAAAACAAATGCTCTTTCTTCATGCTGGCCAAAAGAAAATAGATACTTAAAGAAACTCGAAAATAAGTAAGGTGCACAATGCAGAATTCGTGCAGAAAAATAAACACCAAAAATAGCATTTAATTACCCTTTGTATGTAGTCATATATATCTGCCACTGTATACTCTGTTATCCCATTCATGGTGTATGTCTTTCCACTGCTTGTTTGCCCATATGCAAAAATAGTTGCTGAATTGAATTTTCAAAAAAAAAAAAAAAGAAAGGTATTTACTTGTCATTTTTTTATGAGTGAAGTTACAACAGCCACAAAGCAAGTGCATCTCCTAGCATATTTACGGTTAACACAACAACCAGAAAGCAGGGGCATAATATACTTACAGTTGATACCACTGACAACTGAAAGAGCAATCTCCTTTGTTCCTTCCTCATATACATGCTTCGTTGAGCAGTCACCCCCAAATACTCCATCTACCACCAAAATCATGGATCGCAGAAAGGAAGGTACAACAAGGAAAATTGAGGTCCCTCAATAAATTTCTTACATTGTGTCTAAATTATAAGAAAACAATCTGCTAAAATTCTCAACGTATCCAAACCCATGACAGTGTACCTATGTGGGTTTCTAATGCTCGTGCCTATATGGTAACTCATAATCACTTAAGCATGCATAAAAAAGACCATGGCTAGGTAAGCCATGGACAGAAACTTATGGGTAAATAATGTAGATGGCAACCAACAAGATGTATACTGGATGGGAAACAAAACCACGTAATATTAGTTCACCGAAGGCTCTCCAAAGGTAAAGGTAAAGTGTAAACAGCTCTGGATCACAATTAAACCCACAAAGGCCTCAACAAATATATTATTTCATTCTAAAACCAGGAAAGAATCAAATCTGAATAGACAAGGCAAACCAGGCATTTTCTTACCAAATGTATACGCTGTTGGAAGCCCAGATCGCTCTTGGAGACTATTCCGGTACAAAATGGTGGTTTCGTTGATGCATTCCCAGTCTGCAACTTCATTCCTCGCACTCTCCTTTTCACTCAAAGGCCTTAACCTCACCAATACTAGGATCTTCTCCTCATGACCACGCGCCAGACCTTGCATATTTTCCCACTTCATCAACTCTTCTTCTCCAATTGCCCCCATTGATCTCCCTTTTTTCTTTCGTTCTCTCTCAATCACTCCTCCAATTACACAAAACACTAAATACCCATTGTTCCAATAGGCAAACAGTACCAAATACCATCACAATTTCTCAACGGACTGGCATTGTTTCTTTGTTCTCTCCCAAACCCCACCACCATGTAAAGCACAGAAAACATATCCATTATTCATGAATCCCGGATAATACCAGAAAAGGCACAAATATCTCTCACTGTACCATATTTCTGCCCAAAAGAAGCAAGACAGTTAAGCTGTTAATAACATAGGTTGTGGTGCTTGAAATAGAAAAATGATATGCTCCAACTTCTCTTAACTGTATTATCTGCAACTGAAAGCTAATTATAGAACGTATTGATCAACCAACACAACAAACAGAAAGACAAAAGTTGATCTTAATCATGGTTAGTTGTGATTAAGCACTTTGCTTAACCTTTGTTCTCAAGCTTCAACAAGGCCCTTGAATTTCATTGTAGAGTGAGAACAGATAGCTTTGCTTAATGGGGACCTTACTATGCTTGAAAACGAAGTAACAGGTGCTTTTATGGCAATTCTTAACAGGCCGGTGAAGCTTGGAATATTTTAGCCAAAGTGGTCCCCAATACACACACACACACACAGATATATATATATATATATATATATAATCCAAAATTATATTTATATTTACCTTCTCTGTCGTTTTCACGGAAAGGTAGTGAAGTCAGAATTCAGATTAAGAATCCAAATTCCGGTTGAATTGTCAGAAGCTTCGCTGGTGTTGAACTGGAAAAATCCAAATCTAATGGATTTGAGATTTTTTTATCGTAGCAAAAAAACCCCTTAAATGTGTCTTTCCTGCTTAAAAGTATTTGAAGTTCTTATAAATTCGGGTGGAAGAGTAATGTTTAAGCTCGTCAATGGCGTCGTAATACACGAGATTTTAGAAAAAGATGATGAAACTTTCCATGTCGAATAAAGTGAAAGAAGAAAGAAATCAAATAACAAATCGAGAATGTGGGTGAAAAGGACACAAACAGAAGCCAGATGGAACAGTCGAAATCGGCGAAATCTCACCCCCGCGATCATACAGATTGTTCAAACTGAAAAAAAAAAAAAAAGAAAGAGAGAGAGTGAGAAAGCGAGAATGAACTGTAGCGTTGTAACTTCTACCAGCAACCGTCGCTCTCTCTCTCTGTCTCTCACACACAGAGACAAACACACACTGGAGACGTGGTGCTCTATGTCGCTATCTCTCTCACTCTCTCACCCACACCCCACAAGCACAAACACACACTGGAGACGTGGTACTCTCTCTCTCTCTCTCACACACACACACACACACACATTGGAGACGAGGTGGTGCAAATCGGCGAGTTGCTGGGGGGCGTCAACGTCCGTCCAGTTGTTATTCATGACCTCTGCGATTTTTCCAGTTAAAATGACTATTTTGCCCTTGCTTTATTCTAAAAGCCTGGAAGTTAGCCACGTGCTCACGTGAAAATGAGAATATCTGCGTAATAATTAAACAAAAATTAAATCTTTTTTTTTTAGATATATATTAAGTTGAATCTAAATCTATTGGAACAAACAATGTTAATTGTAGTATAATACTCTTTGCATTGTGTTACTATGATCTTCCCAATTTCAAATTTTATATAAAATTTGATTTTTTTTATTAATTTACATATGAAATCTTTTATGAAATAACTAATCATGAATTGTCTAGGGTTACAAGATTTATTTTGCTATATTTTGTCTCTCTCCTTTATTTATTGTTTTACTATATTAGTAATAATTCATGTGTGCAATCTTAAGGGGTAGTTCAGTGGAGACAAAAAAAGTAATGTAAATTAGTTTGAAATTTTATAACTTTCTTATTTATCCCTCATGAATTATTTAGTTCTGATATGAATAATTTATTTTTGATCGAATCGAGAAATAAATAATTGAAGCGCGCGTAAACTGACTCACATACTCTTAATTGTTATACAAAAAAAGAAAAAAAAAATTATACATGAAAACACTATACAATATCAAAAATCTAGTATTCATCATGTAATATTAGTGTTTTAAATAATAATCCTTTTTAATTACACAAATTATTATTAAACTAGAGAGAGAGAATAAGAAAGAGACAAATATGATTAGTAAAGTTGTTTGACGTTGAAGAATTAGTTATTGTCTGTGCTTGAATGCACAAAGTAATAAAAAATAATAAACAATAAACATATTTGTATTTATATTTATATCCAAAATCAAATCAAAAATACAGAGGATCAAAATCAAATAAAAAACACAGAGGAAAGATTAATAAATTTAAGCATCGGGTTGTAATGAGGATGAGAGGTGGTGGATGACAGTTGTGGTGGAAGGAGACGGTGATGGTTGTAGTGGGTGACAATGATCGTGGTGGTAGTTACGACGACTGTAGCAACAACGACACAGCGATGGTGATGGTGGCAATGGCGACAATGATGGGGGATGGCAACGACAATGGCGATAACAGGTGGTGGTGGTAGTGGTAGTGGTGGCGGCAAAGGCAATGGTGGTGGTGACAGTGGCGGTGGTGGTGGTAATGGTAGAGGTAGTAGTAAGGCGGTTTGAAACATTATTTTTTTTTAAAGTATTTATGATAAATAATTTTTAAAAGTACTTTTAAAAATTCATTTCAAACACACCTTTAGAGTCCTATTTTTTTTTATTAAATTTAGAGTGTTCATATTAACAGTTAGATTAACTTTAAAGTAAAAATTTAAAGCAATTTGAACCGCGAAAAACAAAAGTCAATTTGTTTATCTTTTGAAATTTGAATTGTAAATTATTTTATTATATAGATGTGTGATTGACTTATTTTTTGGCAATTTATTTTTTAAATAAATTTTGTATCGTTATATAAATTTAATAAAGATTGAATTAATATTAACTGTTATTATAATTTTATAAATGAGTAATTTAAAATACTAACTCTAATTTTAGATAGATAGCTTTTTCAATACTCAAATAAAATATAATGTTGTTATCTAATCACATTTAATAACAATTAATGAATAAAGAGGGGACAACGACTTTAAAATTTAATAACAAAAATGATATCTATTAAATCAACCGTTAAACTCGGGATTCACTAATTTAATCACTTTAATATTTCTAACAATTTTAAAATCATGGACCAAACTAGGATAGAGACCTTCACCAACTGTGCCTACCGTCCACCGACTATTCCCCCATTAAAAAAAAATATAAAAAAATATATATATATATATATTTTTTTTTTTTGAAGGTTTAACGACTTTCAGTTATATCATTACAGTTGGAGAACTGGACAGCTGGTGGGCCGACCCGATATCAGTAAATTACAGGATATGACTTAATGACTTCAATGCGATAGCTTGGATCACGGATCAACCCCTCAAAATGTGGACCCGTTAAAGAGAGAAAAGTGATGAGTACTCGTGCCTCATATGTTTCTGACTAATTTTATGGTACCATTTTTTTTTTCAGAACTATTATTTTTTAAAGATAAAATTATAATTAATTGAGGTAAAATCACAATCAATTAATATATTTTTGATTGATTATGAATACAGTGCTAATCAACTTTGATATTGTAGCTTTTTTCTGTATCTCATTTGTAATACACTCACCAAAAATTTTATCGAAACCTTTCATCAAATGAATTTGAATTGTTTGATCAAGGAGTTTTACTAACACCCGCTATAAATCTAATGCTTATGGTTTTATCACATCATTTGGTTTAGGAGTTTTGGCGGTACACAAAACAATTTATATAGATTTTTTTTCCTATTTTTGTGGTTGATTACTTGTATATAAATCTTTGATTAATACGCAGTAGATGATTTATCCAAGAATAAGTTATTTAAAAAAATTTGAATCCAATACATCAAGTTGCCAATTCCAATGATATTGGGAGCCGAAGAAAATTTATTGAATGAGAATTGCCTATACTATTGTCAATGTAACTAATAATCATGAAATTATTAGCAATTTTAGCGCGCGATTGGAGATTATTAGGAAAAAGAAAAGGTTAATTTCAATGATAATTTCAATGATTAATATCTTGAGCTCTTAAATTTAATTAAAGCAAGACAAGGTATGATTGATCTTTCTTATGATTATAAATAATTGTGCACATTTTAAGTTTAAGTAACAATCACTAAATCAAAAAACAAACAAATTCATACCATCGTTGAAAGAAATTGGATTGTTCTCGTGGGAATACATTTGGGCTGAGTTTGAATCATTATCCTCTACCAAAAAAAACCTAAAATTTAATTGTATTTTTGAACATTGCTGTCCCAAACCTTGTTTCTCTTGGGAGGATGGGTCAATTGGTTGTCTGCCGCATATGTTAGGTAGGGGGCTCAAATAACACTTTTTTTAGGGTTCAACATTAAGGGTGTTCGGGTTAATTTACACGTATTTCGATTAATTTTTTTTTTCGTCTGATCAAAGACAGATCATCTACGTCAAAACTAAAATATTTATAACTCTTGGTTCCACACATAGAGCAATCTAACATATAAATATCGGTCTTCTAAGACTTTAAATTTATCAATTTTCTTTCATCTAACCAATAAATAACCTTATCCAAAAAATGGTAAAACATCCGATTCTCCCGAAAATGATGGTAAGATTATCTATCACTTCGCTCGTTCATTTTTAGCACAATTGACAATCTTGTGCTTAAAATACGATATTTTTCGCATCATAAATGAAAGTATAGTGTGAATAGCAAACCTTAATCTGGGAGGGCAGAAAAAGTTATATGTGAATTTCTTTTAATAATCACAGGAAAAGGATGGAGGGTTGAATTATAACAAGACACCATCATTTTGGGCCATGATGTGGGGGCAGTTTCAATGCGGTGATTAAAGAAGATCAGACTACACACCACAAAAAAAGAAAAATGAATAGATTGCGCAGATCGAGACTTGAGGACTAATACTTCTTTCGGTTTAATGGTTGCACGCGTGCACATAATTAGGTGGGCCCATCGTATTTCCCAACCGGAAGAATGTGAGAATTATTTAATTTAAGCTAATCTCATATTTTGATTATTAATTTGTAACATCAAATTATACTCTCAATAGTATAAATTAGTAGTAATATGAACTTGACCTAAACTGCCGTTCTCTTTTTTCTTTCAAAATTAAAGCACGTGAGATGTAATTGTTCTTAGAACATGGAATGAGATATGTTCATTGTTGTAAATCTTTATTTACGATCAATTTTACATCGTTTGGAACCAAAATATTGGTCGTGTGTACTTCTGTCGACGGATTGGATTTAGATTTGAATTTAAATTTTACTAATTCGAACATAAAATCTATTTTAAAAGTATGATCCGAATTTGAATCGGATTATCCGACAAATTTTATTTTCATGATTCATATCAAAATCCGTTAATAATCAAAAATTTGATTTAAACATCCAATCCAGATGACATAATTTAACAAATTTTATTTAATATTTTTTCAAATAATCACTTATTTTTATTTTTAGTATCAATGATTAAAAATCAATTGAACCAAAATCTATGATTATGCAACGATTTCATGTAGTATCAAAAAACATTGAAGTTGTCTGCGGCATTGGAAAACAATTTTGGTACCGTCTTAATAATTATTATATTTGTAGGTATTTTTATTATTTTTGTAGTATTGAGAAAAAATAGTAAAAATAGTTATTAGAGTAGTGATAAAAACACTCACAATAATGGTAAAAATATATTTAAATATGAAAAATTACCCGCAAAAGTGATTTTTTTTTGTTATAAAAATACTCGTTAAAATAATAAATTTTAGAGGTACGGTACCGAATTTTTTTTAATATTTTTTTGATACTATACCTAAAATCATCAATGCAGTGGGTGCCAAATGGCACTAAGCACTGTACGAGAATGAAA